GGATGTCAGTATTTTTCCACAAACTGGTCTGGGAACCAAACTTTGAAACAAAAGGGTTCCTATCATAGGCTAAAGCTATATAAAGCAGGGAGTGACATCATCTGGGATTCTTCACTCCCCACACAAGAAGACTCCTGGAAACCTTAAGAACTGGGGGAAGTGCTGGACACAAGCTAAAGGGATTTCTAGCCTGTGTATGAAACACCTGGGGATTCCAAGCTGCAAAGCAAGTATAGCTTGTGCCTTAAAAAGAAGAACAGGAGGACTTGTGGCACCTTAGAGACTAACAAATTTATTAGAGCATAAGCTTTCGTGGACTACAGCCCACTTCTTCGGATGCATAATCTGCCTGTACCATCAGTTAGGGTGAGAATCTGCTATTCATATACAATCTATGTAGTATATTAAGTTTAGCTTGTGCTTTTGTTTATTTGCTAGGTAACCTGCTTTGATCTGTTTGCTATCATTTATAATCACTTAAAATCTATTTTTTTTTGTAGTTAATCAACTTATTTTATGTTTTAATCCAAACCAGTGAACTTTGACTGGAGTGCTTGGGGAAAATCTCTGCTTGGTCATCACAAGTGTACGTTGTTCTCTTCACAGTGAGGGAGAGGCAGACCGGGTATTAAACCCATATACTGGCCAGATTTGACTAGGGCAGGATGGTACTGCTCTAGGATCCCAGGCTGGGAAGCTGGTGGTGAGAGAGTCTGCGTGTAACTGCAGCTGGGTATGTCCCTATCTTTGTGAATGCTGGTGAAAGTGCAGGCTGTAGGGTTCTGCAGCTTGTCACAGCAGCACTGTGTGAGAGGGAGCCCAGGCTGGTGGGTCAGAGGGCTCAGTGGTACCCCAGTTCTAGGTGGCACCCTGGGGGGAACCCGTCACAGTGGCGTAGTTGGCAGGATTAAATGCACAGCTTGTTGTTCTGAGAGAGCACTTCATACACTGGTGGTGATTTTAAGTGAGTTCTAAGTATGGTGGCTTGAGATCAGTCAAAGAGGTTACCAGTTTGTTATTTTCTGTTTGCTTATTTGGGGAAAGGGAATAGGGACAGAAAAGCAGCAAAATGAGTGAAAGTGAAACTAGTAAGAAGCTGGACTGTGTAAATTGCAGGCAGAAGAGAGGGGGAAAGAACAAATGAGACTTATGGAATTAAAATGGCTGGAAATTGAGACACAGAATGTCAGACAAGAAGCTGCACACGGAAGGGCCATGGAACTGCAAGCCAAAGAAATGGAGAAGGAAAGAGAGAGAAAGCACCAGCTGGACTTGATAGAGAGGCAGAACCAGAACCCCCCCACACCAGGGAGTCCTACCTTTCCAAAAATCCACAAATGGGAATGGTTGTGTCCTGCATACAGCGAGATGGGATATTGCTGAATATTTTATCACCTTTGCGAGACTGTATGTATTTCATGAGATTCATTAGGACCAAAAGATGTCCACTTTGGTTGCAAAGTTGTCTGGGAGAGCTCTGGCTATATTCAACAAGATGCCAATTAGAGATGCTTCAGATTATGGTAAATTAAAGGAAATGGTTTTAAAACAGTTTCAGATTACACCTGTAACATATAGAGTATAATTTTGAAGCCTTAAGAGGGGTGCTGGGATGAGTAATGTGGCATATGTAAACCAGATGAAAGATTTGATGGAAAAGTGGGTAAAGGGAAAAGGAGTTACAAGCTTTGAAGGAATGTGTGATCTTGTTGCTCAGAAACATTTCCTGAATATATATAGTGATGATGTGAAGCAGTGTTTATGGGATAAAAAGGTGAAAACTGTTCATGAATTAGCTACTCTAGTCGATCAATTTGAGCAAACTCAAGCATCTATTGCAAACAAGTCACAGACAGAGGGATTTAAGCCTGGTGGGAAGCAGGGTTCCTGTTTTACCCCTGGGAAGAAGATGGGGGGCGCAGCTGGGCACTCACCTCCCCAAATCCATTCCTCTAGTCCTTGTCCCAAATTTCCTGTAAAAACAGAGGAACTCAGAAGGTGCTATCACTGTAATTGCACTGAACGCCTGAGAAATAAATGTCCTGTGCTGGGAGGGAACAGGCAGCAAGCAACTCATGTGAATGCTGCTACCCAGAGCACAGAGGCACCTCAGGCAGTTGCCACTTATCATACAGGGTTTGTAAAAGTAGCCTCTCCACAGCCAGGCATGAAGCACATGAAGGCTGTCAGGATTAATGGCAAGGAATGTCTTGGGTTGGAAGACACAGGGGCAGAAATTTCTGTGGTTAGAAGGAATGTTGTACAGGAAAGTGACTTATTGCGAGGACAGATGGCAGAACTTTTAATAGTAGAAGGCTACAAAATCCTTGTGCCTTTGGCTAAAGTGCACATAGAAACTGAGGATTTGGAAATGGAAGCCGTATTGGCTGTGGTAAATGATAAACTGATTGCCTTGTTCTTGGGGAATGATTTCTTCCGTGTAGCTTGGGCTGCCGAGGAGAAATTTTATGCTGGAACCCCAGAGGGAAAGGATAAAATCTCAGGAACTACTGGAGGAATGCGAGAGTGTCTCTTTAATTCCTCCGCAGCAGTGGAACATGTATGCTTCCAGGGGTGGGTGTGGTTGAGACCAGCTCCTGCTGCCATCTCCTCCTGGGGGGTGGGGGAGTGTGTTGCCTGTCAGTGAGAAAACTGTCCAGGTTGCTGGCTGCCAGCAGGTTAGCTGAAGTCGGCGTATCTTAGGTTGACTTACCTGGCCGTGAGGATGGCGGCGAGTCGACCACTGCCGCTCCCCCGTTGACTCTGCATCCGCCTCTTGCCATGCGAAATTCTGGAGTCGACGGGGAGCGCGTTCGGGGATCAATTTATCCGCCTGTAGGTGAGACACAATAAATCGATCCCCGACAGATCGATCCCGATCTGGTGGGTAGTGAAGACCTGCCCCTAGGGAAGATCAGTGAAGGGTGATGGAATCATAGAGACCACTGAGGTGGGTGAGGGATCCATTGATTCTGTAATTGGCGGCAAACCCAACTCAGAGAGGGAGGAGGGTATACTGCTTGCCAGTGAAAGAACTGTTCCGGCTGTGAGCCCTTCACAGCTGAACAGGGGACAGATCCCACTCTAGAAAACACAGAAGTGTGTGTCTTAGATGGGGCCCCAGAGAAGGAAATTGAGAGAGAATTGGTGGGAGTACAGGAATGTCTCCTCACTGATTACATGGGGGGGGGGGGGGAGTGGTCCTGGACAGAACAGCTGTTCCAGCATCTATGGACCTAGGTACCCAAGTTTTGAAAGGGAGCTGTGTAACTGATCTCCCAGAGGGAAGCAGTCACACAACTAACCACTTGGGGATAGAGAGAGGGGTGACTGAGGGTATTCCAATGCTGGTCCCACTTTTGCAAAATGCTGTTCCTGATGTACTTGTGGAAACTAACTCTGTCTCTGTCTCTTTAAGACAGGATTGGAATCCTGATGAATCATACTGAAGACTTAGCAGATTCTGGTTCTTAGATTGTTGACTCCCTAAGTGCTTATACAACACCTACCACACTTTGGATGCTAATGTAATATACATAACAATATATGACTATCACACTAGCATATGGGCAATTGTGCTGTGAGGACAGACTACTGTGGCTGACAGCAGCTGTGAATCATTGGAATCCAGAAGGGAAAGTCCTCGACACTGTAGGCCTTGAGAAGTTTTGGAGGCATAGGAGCCAACAGAGACTGAATGGGTTGGGTTAAGGGAAACTGACAGGCAGAGAAAGCCAGCCTCTTTTTAGCCAATCAGGGTCCTAAAGGAATATAAAGAATGTCAGAAAACAGGCATTACCCCAGGCTCTCATTCAGACTTGGAGATGCAATCATGCCACATTTATGCATCACTTCCCTCTTCTTCCCTTTCAGATGTAACCCTGTCAGAAAGTTTTAGTACTAGAATGCAGATACTAGTCCCACTCTCCTGTGTGCATAATCATTTCAGTGCCACAGCCACTCTTCCCATTACTTGAGAAACAATGATCATTCATTAAAACTTTTTTTTTAAATAAGGAAATTCCCAGCATTTTTGGTGCTTGTTTTTTGTTTGTTTTATTTTAAGACAAGGTTGCTAAATTCATCTCCACTCACAAAAACAGTTGTGAAAGAACATTGCAGTTATTAAAAATACAACAATCCCATAACACCCTAAAGTGAGTTTGTCCATAAATATGAATTCTCATTATAGTCACTAATATCAAACTAACTCTGGAATAGGGAGCCTTAATTCTGTCTATCTCCGTTTAAAAGGGGCACTTTGAGTTAAAAGTCATGTGTTGTGAGGAAACATTTTGTCTTGCCTATGGACTCCATCCTACAATGCAGAAAGGGGCACTGCTGCACACGTGCAATTGCAGGCTCACTGATGGCCCAGATCCTGCAAAGACAAGTGCTTAACTACATGCCCTGAATAGCCTCATTGTAGTCAATAGGACTACTCACAGTGAATAAAGTTAAGCATGTGTGTGTCCTGCAGAATTAGAGCCTGTGTTACTAATAACGACACCTTAGATTTTTAAAACTGACAAACAATTAAAAAAAATTACTTTTCACTTATGTTTACTTTTTTGAATTTCCCTCAATTTGGACAATCAAGTCAGTTTCACCTTTGTTTACAGTCTGTTTAATTTGTACATTTTCAGTACTGCATTATTTGAGTTGTAATCACTGTAGAAAAATGTTTGTTTAAAAAAACAATTTCCATTGTAATAAAGGTAGATTTTCTTAATTTGTGCAAAATGTAAACATTGAGCCAAACTGTTCCCTTCCAATGGATTTTTTGATATTATAATTATATTTCTATAGATATTACAGTTTGCTATAGATTAAAATTAAATGACTGTACTTTAATGCATATGCACAACGGGGCAGAGTTAAAGTTACATGTTCAGGCTCAACTATCACAGTTCTGACTTTTGAGCATTTTAAGTAGTAATTTGTTTCATGGATGGACATATGAGCGCTGTAACAATCAAGTTGGCTGTTAAGGACAAAGACCAATGTCACCCCCGACCTGCAGAAGTGCTCTCTGTAGCTAGAAAAGCTTGTCTCTCTTACTAACACGTGGGTCCAATAAAATATTTTGCCTTTGTCTGGAACTGCCAGGGATACAACACCGCTCCAGGCAAAGAACATTGTTTCAGGGGTAGCGATTACAATGGTCTCATGTTACACTTATATGGCATTACCCAGGTAAGTGCTCTCTGCTAGTCTAACACTTGGGAGTGCCTGTGTCCACAACACTGATGGCTGCTGCGCTTTCTATGCCAAAAACATTTGACCTCAACAAACATGGCTTCTGCATTTCCCCTGAAGGACTCGTCCCCTTAGGAAGGATGGGGGAAGGGCATTTCCTGTTCAGCCCTTTTGCCTTCAACAAAGATGGTGCCTGCAGCCCCGGGCCGGGAGCGTGTATAATCCCCGGCTTTCCGGCTGTAAGTACACTTCAGTGTCTGGGAACAACGCCGGCTCCCCAGTGCTTTCCCCATGCGCTGGCTGGGAGCCCTGCCGCCTCTCCACTGGGGGCTGGCTTTGCACGCTCCTTTCCTCCAGTCTCTTGTTTAGCCCTGTTCTTATGATCCCTGCACCTTTCTTCCTGCCCCAAGCGGCGCTAGCTTTGGAAGATCAATCCAGGCATGTATATGCACACGCACACCAAGACCGGTCCAGCCATTGTAGTCTGTCCTCCCCTAGCAGCAGCAGCAGCACTGACAGATCCTGCTACCGGCTCAGTTTTTAATGGTATGGTGGCTTTGAGGAGGAGACGCCCGCAACGCTGCTGTGATTTATGCTGCTGCTGATCCGGGTCTCCGGTTAGCATGGGAGGCTACAATGCTCCTGCCTTGCACACCCCCGGGGATTAGATCCACTCCTACCCCGCTACCGTAGCTAAGGGTTTTGCCCTGTCTGTTTTAGACACACTGGGGTGAAAAAACAGCTAGACTCAAAGTCTGATGTATAGTAAGTGTAATTTGTTGGCGGATTCCTGTGTTACTAGAGTTTAAATTACCAGCCACTCCAGAACCCCTGAGATCGTTCCACCTCCTGCGGGAAAACTATAAAGTTCTCAGTGAATGTCAGGTGGCATTCTGGTGTTATGTGTATTTACACTGTGTGTGAGACAGTAGCAGCATATATCAATTCAATGAAATGACAAATGTCTCTCTACAGCTTTATGACACGATCACTTTATGCAAGAGGAATAATGAGAAGAGGGAGGAACCCTAAATCTTACCTGCTGGATTAGACGAGCTACAGAAAATTCTAGACCTGCAGTGCCAGTAAGTATGAATGGCAATAGCCAATCTGTTTGTTCTTTCTTGTAATGGATGCACCTGTTTTCTAAATTACGTATTGATAACTTCTGAAGTGTGAGTCTATATAGTTCATGGAGCACTTTCCAACTGAAAAAGCTGGGAAAAACTGTCCTGACAGGATAATAATCAGGCCATTTGGAGTTAATGGCTCACATCATTCCTGCCTAACCAGGCACTAACTTCCCTATTGAAACATGCCAGGAGTCATAGGGATCCAATCCAAATTATTATTGACTCACAGAGAAACCAATTAATATAATAGCTATTAAATCTGGGGAAAAACTAGAGTGTTTATTCCAAAGGTTAAATAAATTGGTATGAGGAAGCTATTCAGAGCCAGATTTTCAACTTTCACTTCTGGTGTGCTTCCACATCAATGTATGCATGCAAACAGTGATTTCCCCTGTGTCTATAGCAATACCTATGTGCAAGTCAGGGACTGTGCAAGTACCACTGAGTTAGTGAATGTTTCTTAAAGTCTGGTCTTAAAATTGAAAAATCACAAATATTTAGAAATACTTGGGAAAATTTTGGCTTTACTGTAACTTTGGCTTTCTTGCTTGGTGGACAGCGTTTTTCTGTGATTGGGATGATCTGGTGTTTCATCTCTCTCTCCCCCTCCACCCTCACTAGTATTTATTTAATAATAATTATTTAAAAAAGCCTCCTCTAGCTTGATCTTGGATCTCTTCCAGACAGTGGTTATAGTAGATTGGAACAGGACAGAGAGCTCTCACTGCCACAGTCAAGAGGGGGAAATTAGTGAGAAAGGGGTTGGAGGGGGAGCTCGTCTCTGCTTTTAGTTGTGCTCTTATCTTTAAACTCTCCTTCCAGGCTGATCTCACGTCAGGAGTGGATCATGGTAAGTCTCCAGGTCTTCTGCTTGTTTCCCTGTCCACTGCCCCCCCTCCAACTATCTAGACCAGGCCTGCACAACATGCGGGCCGCATGCTCACTGTGCGGCCCACGGGGGGATTCCAAACCCCACGCACACAAAGTCCCGAGGCTGGCGTGGCGGCGCTTC